ACGGGAGAAAATCTCTCTGAAAAGGGATTAATATTCAGCACTTATAAAGAACCCCTACAAATAATCCAATTTTTAAAAATACACAACCCAATTTTAAAAATAGACAAAGAGCTTGAATAGACATTTCTCCAAAGAAGTTATACAAATGGCCAGGGAGCCCAAGAAAAGATGCTCAACATCACTATTCGTCAGGGAAATGCAAATCGAAACCACAGTGAGATCACCTCACACCAGCTGGGATGGCCACTACCAAGAACACTCCAGAAAAGGTAACAATCGCTGGCAGGGATATACAGAAACTGCAGTGCTCGTGCATCACTGGTGGGGAATGTAAAGGAGTGTGGAACAGCATGGAAAACAGGCTCTTAAAAAATTAAAACAGGGGCACCTGGGCGGCTCAGTCAGTTAAGTGTCTACCTTCAACTCAGGTCATGATCTCGGGATCCTGGTATCGAGACCCGCATCAGGCTCCCTGCTCCTCGGGGAACCTGCTTCTCCCTCTGCCCCTCCTCCCACTTGTTCTCTCAATTTCTCTCTCTCTCTTGCCCTCCCTCCCTCCCTAATAAATAAAATCTTAAAAAAGTTAAAACAGAATTACCACATGATCCAGCCATCTCTTGTATATACCTAAAAGAACTGAAGTCAAGGACTCAGATATTTGTACATCCGTGCTCATAGCGGCATTCCTCACAAAGACTCCAAAGTGGAAACCACCCAAATGTCCATCAAGAGATGAATGGATAAAAATGTGGCATATCCATGCAATGGAGTATCACTGAGTCCTAACAAGGAAGGAGATGCTGGGGCGCCTGGGTGGCTCAGTTGGTTAAGGAAGGGAGATGCTGACCCGTGCCTCAACATGAATGAAGTTTAAAAATGTTATGTAAGCGCAATAAGCCAGACACAAGAGTACAAATACTGTAGAATTCCACTTATATGAGTTACCTAGAGCAGTCAAAATCACAAAGACGCAAAGCAGAAAAGGAGTTACTAGGGGCCAGGGAAGGGGAGGAAATGGGAAGTTATTTAATGGGTACAGAGTTTCTGTTTGGGAAGATGAAAAATCCTAGAAATCAACGGTGGTGAGAGTTGTACAACATTGCGAATGTGCTTAACGTCACTCCACTGCACACCTAAAAATGGTTAAAATGGCAAACTGTATGTCGTGTGTATTTTCCACAATAAAATACTTTGATGACAGCCAGTGAAGGGCTGGGCAATGAAGTTCTACCTACTTGAAACCTGGATCTACTACGTCCCAGCTGAGTGACTTTGGGAAAATGACTCAACCTCTGAAGAGTTTTAGTTTCTTCTTGTAAAATGAGGATATCACACATTCATGAGGTCAAAGTCAAGATCAGCATTAAAAAGGAAAAAGTAAAATGCTGAGTATAGGGCCTATCATGCCATCAACCAACAAATGATGTTTAGCAGCTCTGGAAATAAAAAAAAGGTAGTATGTTATCATAGAAAACAAATTAACGAAGGTAAAAAAAAAAAAAAGCTTCAAAAGAAGAGAAACAGGTACTGGGTAACAAGGGAACTTGAAATAAGGGAGGGGCAGTCTTGGCTTTGCAACAGTTCCCAAGAAGCTCTCTCAAGTACAGAGAATTTCATTTATTAAAATTTCAATACGAAATATGTGATAACAGATGTTTGAACGAGAGAATGCCGCCTTAGGTCCCCAGTGACAGTCTAGTTCATCTGTTACTGCGCAGATTGTAAGAACGCTCCTTCAGAGAGATGAACACACAAGAGTGTTTCCAGGCCTGTCTCCCAAGAGTGAGGAAGGTGGATTACAAAAGAAGGCAGTATTAGCAACTACTTACTGAGTCACTCAGTAGGGGAGCAGGGCTTCAAGTACTCCAACACAGGGGGAATATCCCCAAGTTACAGATTTCGCTGGAGCAAGTCACTAGGCTGTAAGGGACAAGGAGCGCTAAAAATAATGCCTTCTAACATATTTGCCCCTCTAAGATTCTATGATCCTAAATTTACATTTTTTTTTAAATATTTTATTTATTTATTCATGAGAGAGAGAGGGAGAGAGAGAGAAGCAGAGGGAGAAGCAGGCTCCCAAAGAGCAGGGAGCCCGATGCGGGACTCGATCCCAGGACCCTGGGATCATGACCTGAGCCAAAGGCAGACGCTTAACCATCTGAGCCACCCAGGCGCCCCTAAATTTACATTTTTGAAGACAGTGCTATGTAAAGACAGATGCAAGGTACGAGATGATCACGTGCAGGCACGGGATTGCAGGTGCCGGGGTACACACGGAATGCTGTTCTGGGACAATCTCTGGATAACAGAAGTGGTAAGTTCGCAGCCAAAGCAGTACGGCAGTTGCCCAAGCGTAGCCAGTTGAACTGCAACAACCCAGGGGTAAGGGGCACCGTGTCTGGGCAGTCCAAAAAACCTCATCTAATGTTTGACTCCCCAAAACTTAACCACTAAGAGCCTACTGCTGTCCTGTAGGCTTACAGATAACATAAGCTATAGGCCATTAACACACAGTTTGTCTATGCTTTATATACTGTGTTCTAACAATAAAGCTAGAGAAAAGAAAATGTTAAGAAAAATCCTGAGAGGGGCGCCTGGGTGGCTCAGTCGTTAAGCGTCTGCCTTCGGCTCAGGTCATGATCCCAGAGTCCTGGGATCAAGCCCTGCATCGGGCTCCCCGCTCGGTGGGAAGGCTGCTTCTCCCTCTCCCACTCCCCCTGCTTGTGTTCCCTCTCTCGCTGTGTCTCTGTCAAATAAATAAATAAAATCTTAAAAAAAAAAAAAAAGTCCTAAGAGAAACTACATTCACAGTACTGTATTATCGAAAAAGATCCACTTACAAGTGGACCCACACAGCCCAAACCTGTGTTGTTCATGGGTCAACCCTTCTTCTAATTTGCAAAGACATTTTAGGCAAAAAGGAAAAAACACACTTAAAACCCCACAAGCACAAATAAACCAACTTTAATAGATATTATTTTGTATTTATATAGCGCCTTCTTCAAGAACCTTAGATGCTTTACAGACATTATATCTAATTAATCCCCACAACAACCCTGTGAGGTAGGTATTACTCCCATTTTACAAGATAGGGAGACTGAAGCACAGAGAGGTTAAGTGACTTGCCCAAGGTCACACAGTTAAATTCACTGAAGAGCCAGGACCTGAGCGCCTTAGCCTCCCGGCTCCCAGTTAAATACCTCATGAGAGAATCTTTAATGAAAAGTATCCTTAAAGAAAGTATCAAGAGTAGTATGTTATGAAAGTGAGGTCTTTCTACTGCCATCACGGAAAAGAAAAAAACCCAATACTGATGGTTAAAGGCAACAAGACCCATATATTACACATTTTCTTTTTTTCCCTTTTCCTGAAGTCTCACGGCCCCCGTCTTAAGCAATCTTCTAAAGGTAAAGTTTCCAAGACAGAAGCCATGACTTGGCAGTGAGACTTAATTTAGAATATTTACTTTCAGTTACGATAATTTATAGAAATTTTTATTCCAATATACAAAAAATATGGGACAGCCATCCCCACAAACATGTACACGGTTAGAGAGCAATCAGCCACCATTTACAACCTACCCCCGCCCCTCATTTCAATCGTAGTCAACCAACATACAACCTGACGATGCTTTCCATATGGGTCACTTCTCTTACTAAATACCTGCATTTTTTCCCCCACCCCTAACCCTATGTTTTTAAAGTATAATGAGTTTCTGAAAAGCTTCAAAACATTTTATGTAGATGCAGCTGTACTAAGAGTAAAAAGGAAATCGAGAACCATCACCCCACAGCCCCTCCCCTGACAAATCATACTACTAAACACGGTGTAGATGTGAACAGTGTGTGACTACCAAGGAACTCAATAAAAATGCTAGAACTTGCTTTAATATGAAATTTAACCTCGCTTTTACTGTATTTTTTTTAAATGCAAAATGTAGAAACAAACACAGCGTAGTATTCCAATGCTGTACCTCTACGCAAATGACTTCATCTCTCTCATCCATGCTGTGGCCTGACTCAAGTAAAGACTGACTCAGCCTCACTTTGCGTCTCTCTGCACTGAGCGCGGCAGAAACACAGCCTCGAATTCCGAGACAATTTGGTTTGAGCCCTCAAAATAAAAAAATGTATCCACTTCCACGTCTGTGACCTTCCCCACATTCTCAGTCGTGATTCTCTGTGCAATGTTGTCATCGGGCAGGCTACGGAACTCGTAGAAACCCACTCCAGCCAGCATAAGGCTTTGGCGACTATAATCTTAAAAAGCAAGTTGTCAAAATACATCATCATTTTCTCCCAGCACATCTGCTTGAACAGCCCGATTAGCCAAGTGACCCTGTTAAAGATCAGTTCATGGAACGAATAGGTGAAGTCATTTCCTGAGCTAAAAGATACAGATAATAAATGTTAATAAATAGCAGCAGACAAAAAATTTTTTTTTCATATTCAACAGTATTAGTAAAAGAAGTTTAGAAAAATTACAGCAATTAAAAAAAAATTACTGCCTAAAAGGACTTAAAGAACATCCAAGGCCTGATCGCTATTATTTTGAATATATATTCAATCACTTCCTGCACGTTACATTTGGCCACCGTCAGACAACTTACTGATGCATGGAAAAGTGTCGACCGCAATGGTTCACATACGTTTTACATTACATATATTAATTCTTAAAACTCCCCACAGAAGGAAGTCTTAACAAATGCAAAGTGTAATTTCTGAACACTCTTCCAGTAAGACTGGTAAAGATGAAGGAGGAGGGCGGCGGGAGAAAAGGACTTGCTCGGTGTGCTCCTGGCCTGTGTCACAAACACTTCATCCTTGCCGGGTTCGCAGCGAGCCTCGTGGGCTGCTGGGGTTCTGACAGAGTACTTCTTTCCAGGGTAAAGAATGACATTTGAAAAGAACATAACTGCTATGACACCAATTTTCCAAACACGGCCTCAACCTGAAACGTTAGAGTGCTTAAAGACTTCTCAAGACTGGTGCACCACCACGGAGCCACAACTTCTTTATCGTTCCAACCGTGACAGGGAATTTTTGATAGTTTTTTATGGTACTGAAATTAAAGCTGAATAACTGATTTATAAACTATAACAAAAGGACAAATATTTAGCCAGAGATATCAGTTCCTCCTGAAAAAGAATATTTACCTCCTCTCGTTGCAAATTTTTCTTAAGGTATGCTACGATTTAAAATAGAGCTTAAAATTCACCTTAAAAATAGAAACAAACAAAAGGACTAGTTAAACTGACAAAAACTAATAAAAATATGCTCAAATTTACTGACAGAATCATGGGCACTTCACACAATACTTAGACTCTACCAGTTTTAAGTAAAATAAATAAGAAAAAAAAAAGATAATTACAAAGCCAGTCTTTCCCCTTGGGGAAACAAAAAGCCACTTTTGACCAATTGTTCCCTACATATACATATACTGTATATTATTATAAGCTTCTTCAGAGAAGCAAAACATATTTGTCTTCCTGACACTGGATTCTAGTGATCTGTTAGTTCTTAAGTCAGGAAGGCAACTGCAAGTGTTGGGCCCAAATGTAGTTCTGGTTTACGCTTGAAAAGACCACCGAATATTCCTTCTATGTATCTTCAACATGGGCAAATTTACGCAGTGTGTTCAGTATGATCTCCTTAAATGATCAATACAACCTAGCACGGATTCCTAGTCTTTCTACTGCACCCCCAAGGAGTTCAAATCATTACTGGTGCACTTAATAAAGAGAAATGCATGTCAATTACTGGAAGGCTGTTTTACAAGAGGAGCTGCTATCTCTGATTTCACTTCCTTGTTGTGTGGAACTGCACGGACAGCATGATACCTGAGCAAATAAATCAACTACCATGATAGGAAGAGCGTGTTAATCCATAGTCTTTGCTTTATTGTGTGCAAAGTGTGCTACTGCCCCCTGAGCTTCCTGCATTTCTCTTGTCTTGAAAAATCAGTGCTTGATCCTTTCCAAAATAACCAGAGAAGAAATGAGGCAGAAAGTGTCTCTTCATCACAGTCCCTTCTCAGTCCCGAGACTGATAGAAAAGGATGTAACCAGACTCAGAGTTCTTTGAGATATCTGATGTCAACCCGTAGAATTCTTCAATAGCTTGTGCATCTATTTTCTGTGAGGCAAAATGGAAATATTAGTACAGAAATGAGCTCTTCAGTCCAGTAAAGTCTTCCACATTTCTTACAATCATGCCTTTCGTTTTCTTGTTTATAAAACAGCTCTGCACAACGAGAATGGCTTAAATGAAAAAGATTGATCATGCCAAGTATTGGTGAGAACGTGAAGCAAACAGGGCTCTCATGCATAGCTGGCAGGAAGGCAGGATGGGACAAAGACCTTAGGGAAATGTTTAGCATTATCTTCTAAGGCTGAACATACAACTACCCTTTGATCCAGCAATTCTATGCCTAGGGAACAGAATTACCTGAACTATATGAAACCACCAATTCCCAACCCTTTGTGACCTGTGAAAATGGCAATTTCGTATGGTCCCACCTAACATACACCCAAGAAAAATGAGTGCATATGTCCAGCATTAGACAAGGGTGATCAAGGCAGTTTTACTGATAAGAGTCGGTAAGGGACGAAAAGGCACATTTCTAACTTGTTATATTCTTACAATGGGAAATTACACAGCCATAAAAAAAAGAACCACTACAATAGGCAGCAAGAATGAACTGCTAGATACAAAAGAAGTCATACTGGACGAGTCCATCTACAGTCAAACAGAGGCAAAATTCATCATAATGATAAAAGTCACAACAGCGGGTTCAGAGGACGGGGGGGGAGGGCAGGAAAGCTGTGAAGACTGACCAGGAAGAGGATACGGGGGCTTACTGACCAGGGGCTTACTGAAGGGTGTTAAAAACGTACTCTACCTTGATCTGCAGAGTGGTTACAGAGTGTGCGTGCGCGCACACTCACATGCAAAAAACTCAAGTGTTGCTTAAGATCTGTGTACTTTCTGTACGTATGTTACAGCTCAATAATTTTTTTTAGACAATGAAAGATTTTTTTTCAACCAGCTCTCTTTTCTTTGTTTTATTCTAAGCATTTTGAAGGTCACCTGACCATTCAAGCATTGGGATTGGCTGCTGGGGAGTAAGAAGTAGGAATCTGACTACAATCTGAAGACCTCGACATTTGTCCAATATTTATCACCTGTCATATTCTCAGAATGAGAGCTTGGGAGAAAAAAGAGAAGAGTAAAATACACAACTTTGAAGAAAAATAAGAAATTCAGGAACTACTTACTTCTACAATGTCGTCATCAAACAACAACCAAAAATCATGACTCTTAACTATTGCAATATAATGTCCTCGATTGGGACCACTAAAACAAAGAGAAAGAGAAGTTAGTTTCATACAATGTTTATTAGTATCACTCTTCTATGCCCTCAACTTCATGTTCTACAAAGGAGAATAACTGAAACCGATAAAAATACTCCTTATCTCTATTCCTCCCCAAAATATCAAGCTACATTGATGTGACTTGGCATTCAATTTTATAACCAAATAATTAATGCTCTACTTTGAGAGCTATAATCAGCATTCTATTTATATAAAGCTATGCTATTAAAATTATTTGTTGTCTTTGTAATAATTTAATTATAATTTTTAAAATAATTTTCAAATTTGCTTCTATGAAAAATTTAAATATACTTTTTAGCATTTGCGGGGGATGGTAGAGGGTCACAGCCCCGAGTTTAACTACAGAACAACACATGTAGCATTTTGTCTAAGTCTTATTCCCTTGGCCATAGTTTTTCTCTTGAGGAAAGATACCATACCATGTGATGCCTAAAAAAGCAAAGATATCACATCTATAGCTCTGAAATCAAGCCTGGCCTTCATAAACTTCTTTAAAAACAAATGACATGTTGTTAGTATTATTGGTGCTATTTTTAAGTACCTGGATCTCAGCACCATTATAATTCTTAGAATTGCCTCTGCATCTCATTTTAAACAAATCTGGAATAAAGAAATCTAGAAATGCATAAAAATGCAGGCAGGATTATTTCTTTTCAAAAATATCCTTTGCTTTTATAAAGGACATGGCAAAGATTTTAACCTCTCCCAGTTGAAATGTGACTCATTATAAAAGCTTCTATATAATTCTTTATTAAATTATAATTCCATTGTAATTATTACATTATAGAATTTGAGATAATTTTCAACACAAACTGCTGTTTACGGTGAACAGCAAGAGAATAAGCAGCCTCCTGTGTGTCGTCTCAGCTCCTGACCCTGGCAAAATGACAAAAACAAGAGTACCTCTCTTTCTCCACAGAAGAAAATACCTCACAACTTTTTTTTTTTAAGGCTTTTAATGCTAAAATAAATTTAAAAATAAAAACTAAAAAAAATAAATAAAATATGTTCCCCATTTCTATAGGGTTCATCTAAAGAGTCTTGTGTTTTATAGTGAGAGGGTAAGATTTTTTTTTTTTTTTTTTTTAATTTTTAAGGTGGTGAACATAAAAATCAGAAAGGCTGAGGAACAGAGCCTGAGAGGGAAGAAGACAGATGGGCTGAGGGCCGGTAGGTGTAAGACTGAAAAGGGTAGGCAGCTGTTTCCTCTGGCAAAGTAGTAGTTTGAAGAACAAAAGACAAAAGTTAATTACAGAAACCAGTAAGATGAAGAAGGGCTAAGGCTAATAAACTTCTACCTAAGAAAACCGTGGATTAGGGACCTGCATTCTGAACATAAGACATGCTCAGTTCAGTATGTATGAATGCCTCATGTGCGCAAATAACTGTGCTGGTTGCCGTGGGGATTAGAAAGGCACCCACAACTTCCCTGAAGACACCGTGAGTACAGGAGAGAGCCCTCCCAAAACACAATACAGGGTCCAATAGGATATAAAAGCAGAGCTGCAGGGGTAGTGCAACCCACAGACCTCATCCAGCGAGAGAGGAGAGAGGAGCGGGAGGGAGAGGCCTGAAGAAACAAGGGAGGTTGGTTCCGATGGAGCTGGGGCCGGAGATGGGCTGAAAGGATCACACGCGATCCTTCCACAAGCACCTGTCAGAAATCTACTATATGCCAGGCATTCAGGAGAGAGAACGCGTGAGCTGCACTGGCACAGGCTTGCTAACAGTGAGCATCGTCCACAGGTGAAGGATGCGGGCAAAGTACACCCTTTCTACTCTCACATGAAACAGAACTACGAGTAAACCTGATAAGTAAAAAATAAGATTTGAAAATGTTTTTAATCTTTGTTAATGGACAAATCATTTCCTGTTCTAAGAAGTGCCTGTTCTCATAACGGAAACGGACCTCCAATCTGACAAATACAATACAATACAGTAGCCGTTATGTGAACATGGAGGCAGGGCACCAGATGGAGCCGGGCTGGAGAGAAGAGCACCCAGCACGGCTTCCAGAGAGGCTTCCGGAGAGGTTTAGAGAGGCCAGGAGGGAAGGAAGGCGGAGGAATCACAGTGAGAGAAGAGGAATAAGGAGTCGCGGAGGGGGCCCCAACTGTGATCAGGAATCTCAGAGTTCATGGTCTTGTGAGTAAAACAATTCCAAGAACCCTAGCATAATCTAAGTAGAGTGAAACTTATAACTGTCCCCGAAACTGAAGAGGCTAAGGAACAGTTAAGTTAGGATGTGAAAAGGTAATATTATGATGTTGTTATTGTTAAGAGAACAGTAGCAGCAGCTAAGCGATTTGCATTCCCCCTTTAACCCTAACACCACAGCGAGGTCGGTAATATGATTTGCATTTTACACAAGAGAAAGTAGACATTCAGGGAGTACTGTATGAAGTCACACCAGCCATAAATGGCAGGACAGAACCAAAAGCCAGGTTTCTCTGACTCTAAAACCTCTGGTTTGAATCACTCCACCAAGGTTAAGTTATCTGGTAAGGTTTTCCTCCATCCAGAGGTCTCCAGCCTTCCTTTAGAACAGAATGTTCCAAGCATGTAAAAGAAAGATTACTGCTGAGGATGGAAGACAAGGAGGCAGGCTGAAAGGGACAGTGGAGTTACAGCAAGGTTACCACCCGGGCTGTCCTTACGTTTTCTCAACAGAAAGCTGGGAGGGACAGCTTAAGGTGAGAAGGCCAGGGACTTTTTTCATTGGCTGAAACATGCTGTTAGTACAAGCTTCCCCAAGCCAGGGGAAAAGAGTGTCTCTCTTTAAATTATACAGGAAATTCTAAACAGTCAATGAAGACTGCATGTTCCAAATACACACTTTGACCATGTGATGCTCCTGTAGTTTTGAGAATTTTTTGAGCTATTTTATAAATGCACATATATAGAATGAGATAGCACACTAAATTGACTATCGAAATAAACATACTGATTGATAAAATCAGAAAACTTGTCTTCAAAGATTATTTCCAAAGCCATTTTAAATTTTTTCATAACCATTGTAATGATGAACATATGCAATTAATCTAAGAATTTATTTTGCAAAATCTATTTAGGCATCATTTTTACTGAAAAGAAAAAGAGGAAAAGAAAAAAGAGATGAAAAGAAAGGAGAAGAAAAGAAATGAAATAAAAAGAAAATCTAAGAGGTCTTAAAGTTCCTTTAGAGTAATATTTACAGAATAAGAGTGAAAATCAAATAATATTTCAATATATAGAAGTTTAAGGAGGAAATGATAAATGCACTGTATCTGAAAGATCCCATTTTGCAACCAAGTTATCCTGATGCTAAAGCCCCTGGAAGGTCTAGAGTGGAAGCACTCGGGCCCATCCTGAACACCTGCCCCCAGACAGAGACCCTCGCCCGCGCAGCCCACGGTTGCAGTTACCTTCCACAGTGAACCACCACGGCGACAAGGTCGTACATTCTGTCAGGGTTGGTCGCATCACCAGAGGTGTTAAACAGACGAAGTTCTAAAGGAAAAACTACCCGATAAGACAGTTTTGTGTATCGATGAAGTTGATCCATGTATTTAAACCTCTTCAGGTGTAGAGCTAGAATCATGGGCAGTTTTTTAACTTTCATCCTATTCAAATAAACATGGAAACAAAATTTCATGAAAGGCACTCATACCATGTCCTTAAAAGAACTATCAAACTTTATGATTCCATTAACAAATAGTTCATGGTCGGTTTTAATAGCCCAGCACTGCCCACTTTTGCATATTCCTACCAATTATTTTTATAGTGGCGAAGCAACATTCTGAACATGTTAAGACTATCCCACCCCACCATCATCACTAAATGACATAATTTGACTTTGTACTCCATATGGCTTCAAAGTAGATGGACTGGCATCAGTCCTTTGTTCAGAAATCCTTATTCTGAAATACAGGCCCCTGAGGATCAGGCTAACTGCACATGAGGCCGATGATGGGTGGAGGAAAACCAGTTCCATACAGCTGCTAACTCCTTTGGACGTGAGTGCAGACAGGGTCATTTGTTCTATCGGTCTATATAATTCAATAACGGATGGAGAACAGGACACGATGAGAAAGCATTAAAGACCATTCTGTGAAAGGTGTTTGCCAGAGATTAAGAAATAACTCCATATGAAGAATGATGACTACATGTATTCTAGAAAGGGAGTTAAATAACCTGCAAATTTAGGAGATAAGTTTTTAACTGGCTATCCTCCACATTTTAAATAATCTTTAGTATGCCCTTAAATGCCATTTCTCCCTGACACGACCTCTGCACTCCTACTTCATCTGAAGACAGTTTATTCTTCTGAAGGCTCAGCTCACATGTTATAACCCCTGGCATAAATATCTCCTCCCTTCAATCCCCCATTGGCACTTCACGGATTCACTGTGTGTGTGTGTGTGTGTGTGTGTGTATGTGTACGTACCATTTACAACGCCATAAAATATTTAGATGATTATGGGTCTTTCTCTTCTTCTAGGATCTGAAGTCTTGGCAGGTAGAAACCTTTTTTTTTTTTTCCATTTTATTTCTCTATTGAGCAACATGCCTGGCACATGACAGATACTTGACAAATGTAGTGGAACCGAATTTTCTGTATGTGTTCAATGAAGCATAACGCTTTTCATAATTAAAACATGAAATTTACTAAGCCATTGCCTCTAATGAAGTGAAAACAAAAATCATTTTGTAGCATTTACTAAATCTGCAACCTACAAATTTTAAATGTGGTGGGCAGCTTATTATTTCAGAAACATTTACTACTCTACCCTGGCCTTTGAAAAACATCAGCAAGAATAAACAGATAATCATTCCTAGAAGGAAATCTAGCAGTATAAGAGTCTTTATGGCCTTTGCCTCAGGAATTCCACTTCTAGGACTGAAATATATCATCTCAAATACAAGACTTCTGAAAAAAAAAAAAAACATTCACTTCTAGGGTTATTTTATATCGTGAAAAACTGGGAAAGTCCAGGAGACAGGCATATCGCAGAGATATTGTGCGTTAAGTTCCAGACCACTACAGTAAAGTAAGTATTGCAATAAAGCCAATGAAGTGAAATTTTTGGTTTCCCAGCGCATGCAAAAGTTAGATTTACACTATATCTATTAAATGCACAATAGCATTATGTCTAGAAAAACAATGCAGATACCTTAATTTAAAAATATCTCATTGCTAAAAAAAAAAGGCAAACCATCATCTAAAACTTCAACAAGTCATAATCTTTTTGCTGGGGACAAGGGTCTTGGCTCACTGCTGGTGGCTGCTGACCGATCAGGGCGGTGGCTCCTGAAGGCTGGGTGGCTAAGGCAGTTTCTTAAAAGAAGACAATAGAGTTAGCCACACTGACTGGCTCTTCCCTTCATGAACGATTTCTCTGTAGCATGGGACGCTGTTTGAGAGCATTTCATCCACAGAACGTCTTTTAAAACTGGAGTCAATCCTCTCAAACCCTGCTGCTGCTTTATCAGCTAAGTTGATGTAAGATTCTTAATCCTTTGTGGTCACCTCAACAGTTTTCACAGCATCTTCACCAGTAGATTCCATCTCAAGAATCCACTTTGTTCATCCACAAGAAGCAGCTCCTCATCCGTTCAAGCTGGATCATGAGATTGCAGCAATGCGTTCCCCCTCTTCAGGCCCCACTTCTATTTCCAGTTTTCTTGCTGTTTCCACCACCTCTGCAGTGACTGCCCCCACTGATGCCCTGAACCCCTCCAAGACCTCCGTGAGGGTGGGAACCAACCTCTCTCAAACTCCTGTGAATGTGGAGATTTTGACCTCTTCCCATGAATATTTTAAAAGCATCTGGAATGGTGAATCCTTTCCAGAAGGGTTTTATTTGCTTAGCCCACATCTATCAGAGGAATCACAGAGGTGTCACTTATGACACCTATAACCTTATAAAATGTATTTATTGAAATATAAGATCTTCAGGGTTTCATATGTAGCCGAGCAGCTCCCTCACAGCAATCTATTAAAAGTCAGCCCTCAACACAAGAAAAAAATATTAAAAATAGTAACAGTAATAAAATAAAAAATAAAACTTGAAAGTCAAAACGACTCCGTGATCCAGGGGCTGCAGACTGGATGCTGTGTCAGCAGGCATGAAAACAACATTCATCTGGTCCGTCTCCGACAGAGCTCCTGGAGGACCGGGTGCATTGTCAGTGCACAGTAATATTTTGATAGGAATCGTTTTTCTCAGCAGCAGGTCTCAACGGTGGGCTTCTAGTGTTCGGTAAACCATGTTGTAAACAGACGCGCTGTCATCCGGGCTTTGTTGTTCCATGTACAGAGCACAGGCAGAGTAGGCTGAGCATCGTTCTGAAGGGCCCCAGGATTTCCGGAACGGTCAGTGAGCACTGGCTTCAACTGAGGTCACCAGCTGCGTTAGCCCCTGACAGGACAGTCAGCCTGGCCTTTGAAGCTTTGAAGCCGGGTACTGACTTCTCCTCTGGAGCTGTGAGTCCTCAATGGCATCCTCTTCCAGTAGAAGGCTGTCCCGTCTACACTGAAAGCCTGTCGTGGAGTGTAGCCACCTGCATTGCTATCGTAGATGGACCTTCTGGAGAACTTGCTGCAGCTTTTCCACCAGCCCTCGCTGCTTCACCTTGTGCTTTCTGTTGTGGAGCTGGCTTCTTTTCTTTCCTTCAACCTCGTCAACCAACCTCTGCCGGCTTCAGACTTTCCTTCTGCAGCCTCCTCACCTCTCTCAGCCCTCACAGAATTAGAGAGAGCTAGCTAGGGCCTTGCTCTGGATTAGGCTTTGGCTTAAGGGAATGCTGGGACTGGTTTGCTCTTCTCTCCAGAGGAGATCAAATTCCTCTCAGAATTTCTCTGTATCAGCAATAAAACTCTTTCGCCTTCTTATGATTCATGTGCTCACTGGAGTAGCACCTTTAATGTCCTTCAAGCATGTTTCCCTTGCACTCACAATTTGGCTGATGTTTGGCGCAAAAGACCTAGCTTTCAGCCTATCTCAGTTTCAACATGCCTTCCTCACTAAGCTTAACCATTTCTAGCTTTTGATTCAAAGAGAGAGACATGTGACTCTTCCTTCCACTTGAGCACTTAGACACCCCTGTAGGGTTACTAACTGGCCTAATTTCAATTTCGTTGTGTCTCAGGGAACAGAGAGGCCCAAGGAGAGGAGAAGAGGTGGGGGAATGGCCAGTGGACAGAGCAGTCAGAACACACACATACTATCAGGTAAGTTCGTCATCTTATACGGGCACAGTTTGTGGTATCCCCAAACAATTAGAATAACCACATCAAAGACCACTGATCACAAATCATCATAACAAATGTCATAATGATGAAAAAGTCTGAAATACCGTGGGAATTACCAAAATATGACACAGAGACATGAAGTCAGCAAATGCTGTTGGAAAAGGGGCATTAATAGACTTGTTTGCCTCAGGGAATTCCATAAACTTTCAAGTTGTAAAAAACGCAGTCTCTGTGAAGTGCAATAAAGCAAGGTATACCTGCACCTGTCTTGTACAAACTCCTTTATACAAGAGGGAATCATCAACTCATTTTTGAGACCAGCATGAACCTGATACCAAAACCTGACAAAGGTATAAGAGAATTACAGACTAATAACACATCCTCCTCATGATATTTATTTCAAAGATGTGAAAATCAAGACATTAGCAAACTGAATCCAGCAACATATAAACCTCACTTGGTGATGATATACTGGTTCTACTAAATGAAATGATGTTTTTTCCTCAGGTTCTTTCTAAATAAAGACCAGTAACTGTAAAAATGGAAAGATTCCTTTATATTCCTAAATTAGCAAAATAATAATAATAAATATGTAAGGGGCATCTTAAAATATGAGGATAGCATATTTATCCTCCTGAAAAAAGCAACCTTGCCCCCTACTTAAATTTTCCAAGAAATTTTAGATCTTGGCAGAAAACTTATGCTTATCAACAATGTGATTTTTAAAAACAAGCATGTCTTCTTCCAACCTAATCAAAATATCCTGCCAGAAAACCAGGAATGAGCAGACTTACTTTCTTAGCAAAAATGCACTGCCCGCGTACATACCAGGTTAGGAACTCAAATCTGCAGCAGCTGTTGTAAGAAGAGGCGGCAGGACCACCGTGATGAGGAGCACATCCTTCCTATTTGGGGTCTTATTACCCAGAAGCAGACCCTGACCCGGGGAGCCAAGAAGGAAGGGGAAGAAGCAGCTAAGGGTTCAGTCTCTGGAAAAGTCGCACAGAGGGCAGCTTCAGCCTGGTGCGGCCAGGGAACTCTGAGCTCTGGATTTCACTGCAGGTTACTCTGCACCGCCAGCAAGGTAACTGGGCTTTCGCACTCTCTTCATCTGCTAGTCAAAGGTCACGGGGGAAAGAAACTCTCAGGAGCTTCCTTCAGCAGCAGACCAAGGGGAGGCCCCCAGAGAAGAGGCAGAGTGAGAGCATCCTACAGGAGTGGGGGCATGGAGAACGGGCACTGTCTGCAACCATTCCCAGACCAGAACACCAGCTACTCCGCTGCAGGCTACAGGTGGCCCCAGGAACGCAGGTTCCAGATTCCAGTGCCATCTGCTGCTTTGATTTTTTTACCCCTCCCCCTGCCAAGAAAAGCCAAAACCATTTTTAAAGTAAAATTTCCCATTTGTATAAATTGTGTGAGCCCAGCCAAGAGGTCTATATGTTGAATGTGGGCCAAAGGGCACTAATATGTAAACTCTGCCAGAGAAATTTAACATCCCAGCACAAGCACATAAGAACTTAAAATTCTGTTGGCAGAGAAGTCTTTTTTTTTTTTTTTTTAAGATTTTTATTTTTTTGACAGAGAAAGAGAGAGAGAAGCACAGAGGGAGAGGGAGAAGCAGGCTTCCCGCGGAGCAGGAAGCTGGATGTGGGGCTCGATCCCAGGACCCCAGGGTCATGACCTGAGCCGAAGGAAGACGCTTAACGACTGAGCCACCCAGGCACCCGGGCAGAGAAGTCTTGACCGCACAGAAGAGTTTAGTAGTTGTACAAACATAAAATCTCACATTCTCATATACTATCACGTCCACAGGGCCTACCTGGGGCAGGTCAGGCTGAGGGGTGAGAGAACAGAAACTAGGACTAGATGTGAGGAAGACACCAGATGATGGAGTTGGCAGCACTGAGAGGAAAGTCAGACACAACGGAGCCTGACCACCAGCACGTGTTCTCAAGGAAGGCAGGTCAGTGGACAGGGGAGGCGGTCGCGGAGTGCCCCGACCCGAGGGGGAAGAGGACTGAGTGCTAGCTATCTGTAGATGCTACCAGCTGTGCATCCAGACAGCATCAACCTGTCAAAAGACACAAGGACCCAGGCAACGAGAAACACAGGTCAGATTCAGGAGGATTCTAATGGGGAAGGGGTGCTACAGTCTGAATACTCGTGTCCCCCCAAAAGTCCTGTGTTCAAAGCCTAAGGCCCCACGTGATGGTACTAGGAGGCGAGGCCTCTGGGAGGTGCTTAGGTCATGAGGGTGGAGCCCTCAGGAATGGAACTGGTATCCTTATCAAAGAGATGCTACAGTTTGCTGGCATCCTTCCACCACATGAGGACACAATGAGAGGGCACCCACTAGGAAGCAGGAAGAGAGCCCTCACCGGCACATGGCATGCTGGTACCTTGATTTTCGACTGCTAGCCTCCAGAACTCTAGGAAGGACGTTTCTGCTGTTTATAATCCACCCAGGCTATGATATTTTGTTACAGCAGTCTCAATGGACTAAGGCAGGGTACGTGCCAGGGGTGGCTGGGGATGTTGACAACAACATGGCTGCTGACAGGACACTAATCGTGATTAGGACCTGCAGATGGAGGGATAAGATATGGATCTGGTTATGAAAATGGAGCAAAAGGGAAGAACTTGCCCTCAGAAACAGGAAGAACCTCCATTACTAGATCCAGGGTAGATGGAGACAGACGGTGGCCATGACACCTTGATGCTGGCTGACCTGGGCACTGCGAGGGTCTTCCCCAGCGCCTCACACAGACAGCACTGGGCCCGGAGGTGGGCTAAGCTGCATCCGGCATAAAGGGAGCGTAAGGGGAGTGAAGAGAGGAAGGGTGTGTAGCAGAGAACCAGTCAGGCTGGCTCAGCTTCCAGTCCAGCCACTCATCGTCAGATCGCACGCGACTGATCCTGCGCTCAGGCAGAGAGGAGTGGCAGAGGAGTGCGCTTTCAAAGTCTCCAGCACCACTCGCACCCCGACGCCCAGGGGACAGGAAACCACCACCAGAAACAAAGCCATCGCACCCTCCCATTCCAGTTCCCCGGGGACATCACTTTGCTTTCCCCAGATGCTTTATCCTCCCACTGGGCAACAGCTCATGGTTGTTTCACCTACATTTACCCAGCTGGTATTTTTCCTGGGCTGTATATAGTTTCCTGCTATACACAGCTCAACAGGTGCGCCATATAAAAAGGAGTCTACGTGCAGATAAATTCTGTATTAAGCTAGATAAGAAGATAAATTTCTCCTATTCTGTGGGTCTTCTCAGAGTCTATAATATGAAGCATGAATAAAGAATGAAGAGGAAATTTTATTATACAGAAAATTCATTTGATCATGGAATACTTATTTTATGGTAACATTTCCAGAAATCGTTCTTCAGTGTTCCAAGATTGAAACCTTTGGTTCTGAAGAAGACATTGTCTTTATGTTAATACAAACATAGATATATTCTGAATGAAGGCCGAACCACATGCATTTTTCTATTGTGGTTAAAAAACAAATAACACAAACTTTACCATCTTAACCCTTTCTAGACGTACAGTAGTGTTCCCGATTAGCATGTTGTGGTGCAATAGATCTCTACAACTTTTTCATCCTGCCAACTGAAACTCTATACCCATTGAACCACTCCCCTTTTCCCCCCTCTCCCCAGACACTGGCAACCAACATTTTACTTTGTTACTAAAAATGTGACTACTTAAGATTCCTCATATATAGAGTCATACAGAATTTGCCTTTTGGTGATTAGCTTATTTCACTTAGCATAATATGCTCAAGATTCAGCCATGTTGTAGTATGACAAAATTGGTTAACATATGAGAACTTGGATTTGAGGGGTGTTTCCACCACTTCCTAAATGATAAGAGTGTCTCAACATGCCTCAATTGTCTGGACAAACAACATGGTTTATGCTCAACACCTACTTTCCTTCTGAGAGTCTGGAATTTTGGCACATGCTAGACAGAGGGTGCCCATTTGCCCAGCCCTCAGTTTAAAACCTTGGACACCGAGTGTGTCATGAGCCTCAGGGGAGACAACAATTCCCCATGTCAGTATTCAGTGCTGAAGGAGTTCAGTGTGTCTTGTGTGACTCCACTGCACTGAACTCTTCTTGGAAGCTCCCCTGGCTTTCTGCTCTGCTGCGATTCTTTGCCAATCTTTCCCTGTAAGGAGTCTTGGCTGTGGGCCTGACTATACACGCTGAGTCCTGCGAGTCCTTCCAGTGCCTCTCACGAATGGTCTGAGGGACCTCCACACATGAGACAAATCAGAATCGTGGATAAGAGGATACAAGGAGGAGAACAGAGCATCACTTCTGTGAGATTTCCCACCAGAATACATAACCTGAACCCCAACGTAAGAAAACATGAGATGAACCCCAAGAGGGACAGTCCATAAAATAATCTATAATTTTCAAAAGCGTCAAGATTTTTAAAGTCAAGAAAAGACTGTTCCAAATGTAAAAAGACTAAAGAGACATGAATACTAAATGTAATGTGTGTTTCTGGACTGGATCCTTTTGTTCTATAAAGGACATTACTGGGACATCCGTGCTAATGAAGTAAGTTCCATGAGAACAGTTAACGTGTCAGTGTTACTTGCCCCATGTGGGTAAATATGGCAATAGGAAAACTTCCTCACCGGTCGAACATAGCCACTCAAGTGTCCAGGATCATGAGACATCATATCAGGACCTTATTTTCAAGTGGTTTTGGGTAAAAAAAAAAAAAAAAAAAATGGCATTCTTGGTACTGTTCATACAACTTTTCTTTGAGCTTGAGATTGTTTCAGAATGATGATGACAACAATTCCATTCTTTGACACCAAATACCAAATAAGAGAAGGTACAAGATCCTGTGTAGGATTAGCAGAAGCTAGGCTAGGGGAAAGGAAAGGATTTTCCCCCTTCTCTCTCCTCACCAAGAAAAAGTTTACTTAAGCAGGCAAGCTTCAAAGTCAAATATTTTAACTGTACTGGTTTATGACTCTTAAACGACATTTACTAAGTGTAGAAAATCACTGGAGACTGCAGAGCTGAATATTGTTTATTTAGTAATAACTTAGTGAGTCTTAATTACTTAATGATAAAATTAGGAATTTTTACTCAGTGTAAATTTTCAGACATCACTTTCAGCTGGAAAGGCCCATCTACAACACCCACTGCCAGAGAATCACTAACAAATTTTTAAAAATGCTAAATTACCGTTTGTGTGCTTCCTGTTTGCTGCGACATTCTTCACAGTAATATTTGTATTCACTGCACAGAGTTTCTGTGTTGCTGAAACCCCTGTGTAAAATTCAAAATAAATTTATTTTGTCTATACCAGAAAACCGTGTATTCATTTAAAAATACTCTAAACCAAAGATATTCATTAAATTTCAAAATAAATAACTCTCCAGTTACCTTAAGCAGTGAGTAATCGATGTGTTTTGTTCCACGTCAACAGAAAGGTCTAAAAAATCTTCATCTTTGCTGCTTATCTGTAAAAATAGGGTGATTTCTTTAAATATCAGTAAATCACTGTTCTGAAATGACAGAATTAAATGCATTCATTCTCTTATTAGTAGTAAGTACATGAAGAATTCATCTTCCCCGAGTTCAAAAGAAATCTACCAAATCTGGATTATCCAAAAGGACACTGAGTAAGTGGCTCTCAACACACGTACAGGTTAAACAGCAAAGTGCACCCGTGACTGATTCCATTTCTGGCAAAGGCCAGTGTGTGAAATCCCATTACTTTCCAAAACCTTGGTACTATTGTAAAGTATGAAACAAACTGCCCATATATACTAATCCTTAAAAAAACACAGGCTAAGACTGAATGGGGATGCTTGGCAAAGGGCATCAACCTGTGTTGTTTTATCATTCAAGGAAATCATTTAGCCTATGATGCCAAATTACAATCTTCATTGAGGACCTTCTTTAATCCTTCTCCAAAAAAAAAAATCTAATATAAAGTTCTGTTTGAATTATGGGCAAATCATCTGATAAAAAAAATTCAAGTTATTACTTAATTCATTTGAATTGGATTAGGACGGAACTTCAGACATCAATTTTCCTAGTTCTTCCCTTCAAAGACTCTGTGCTTAAGGTGAGCACACAACAGGAGACCTCTGTGCCTCTCACCCACAAGGGCTATACACCTGGTGTGGTAAAGGCTTTCCTGCCTCAATAGTGCATCAGTTTTATTAGCTCAGTATCATTAACTTGTGACAGATTATGTGGCTGTATCAAAGAGAAGTAGCTGGGAGTACCAGGTATGCACGGCCTAGGGGCACCACAAGATAAGTGATCTGGGTCTCAAAACATTCAGTGAAAAAGAGTAAGAAAGAACACAGAGAGAGGAAAGGGAATGTGAGAAGCTGAGGAAAAAGAATCAGCCCAGTGAAGGAGAGTAGGGTGGCAAGGGACAGTATGGTAGAGACAGGCTAAAGCCAGACTGAGCAGGGACTTATATGTAAGCTAAAGAGAAATAAAGATTAAAGAGTCCAGTGTTTCTCAAAATGAGGTTTGTGGTTCTCAGGCACTGCCTCAGGGGTCTTCATTTTAGATTTCCATCTTTATTATAACATAAAAAATTTGACATAAGGATTGTTCTGGATCATCTGGATACACCTGAGTTACTACGTTTGGGTTTACAATTGTGTTGGTACTGGGAAACCACCAAGTGGGGCAGTATTTAACTTTTAAAAGTGTTTGTAAACACGTCTGGTTGTTGTTGGACTCCCACGTTCTAAGGTCAGGTCACACCCAGGATGTGGGAGCCTCAGTAAAGAAGAGTAGATAAACAAGGAAAGCCTGCCCTGGAAGGAAGGCAGAGCTGTGGGGGAGGAGTGAGTGGGTGGTGGGCATGTGGGGAGAGCGGACAGC